AGAACAGAACTAGAACAGAACTAGAACGAAGCAGAACTAGAACAGAACTAGAACAGAACTAGAAACTAGAACTGAACTAGAACTGAACTAGAACTGAACTAGAACTGAACTAGAACTGAACTAGAACTGAACTAGAACTGAACTAGAACTGAACTAGAACTGAACTAGAACTGAACTAGAACTGAACTAGAACTGAACTAGAACTGAACTAGAACTGAACTAGAACTGAACTAGAACTGAACTAGAACTGAACTAGAACAGAACTAGAACTGAATTAGAACTGAACTAGAACTGAACTAGAACTGAAGTAGAACTGAACTAGAACTGAACTAGAACTGAACTAGAACTGAACTAGAACTGAACTAGAACTGAACTAGAACAGAACTAGAACTGAACTAGAACTGAACTAGAACTGAACTAGAACTGAACTAGAACTGAACTAGAACTGAACTAGAACTGAACTAGAACTGAACTAGAACTGAACTAGAACTGAACTAGAACTGAACTAGAACTGAACTAGAACTGAACTAGAACTGAACTAGAACTGAACTAGAACTGAATTAGAACTGAACTAGAACTAGATCGTGATTGCAACTAAAAGACTGTCATTAAGAAGCTTTTAAAACTTTCTTCGAAGAAACTTTTTTGCAATTCTAAAAAGCGTTATTAAGCATAGTAATTTAATAAAAAGTTAATTTATTGTCTTTAGAAATAAATCTTAAAAAGACAGTATAATTTGCCAAAGAAACCCTTTAATGTTTTGCAGTTTCTTTAGTGAAAGTTGAGCAACATTTTGCATCAAAGTTGAAGCAACTTTCTCATTACTTTTTTTTTAAATTTTAATAATTCGGTTATAGAAAGTGTAGCAATAACTTCTGAAGGAAGGACTATTGGCAACATGTTTAGTTTGGTTTTGCAACATATTCCTTTCTCACGTTATGTTGTCTTTATAATTCCTTCAAGAGAAAATAGTCCTTTTAAATGATCTACGTATGTAAAAAAAGCCCACAGCCGCATATGTATACCCTTATGTAGTTTTTTCAATACTTGTTAAGCAAGATTTTTGTTGGAATTTGTATATTTCTGCAAATTATACTGTTTTTAAATTCTGGAAGCTTTTACAAAGTTGAAGCAAGGAAAATAATAAAGAATTAAAAATTTTAACAAAGAAGATCTTGAAGATTGCTGAGTAAAAAGCTTAATTAAACAGTAGTTTTATGTTAACATTAAAAAGGATTTAAATAAAAATTCGAAATTTTAAGAAAATTTATAAAAAATTAAATAATTATTCATTTTTTTGCATTTATCTTAATACTTTCCATTTTTATTACTTTAATTATTTTTACCTTTTTTTATTATTTTAACATTATGTGTTTGTTTAATGTTTTTTGTTGTTATTTGTTGAATATACATATATAATTAATATTATTTTTTTAATACATTTAAATATGTTAGTTTATGCGTTTAGGTTTTTTTGTTTAAATTTATTTTGACAGTTCTTTTTTGTTCATATCATTATTATATTTTGTTTTTCATTAAAAATTTAAATAAATTTACTTATCTACAAATAGCTGCCGTATCCATGAGAATTGTTTCATAAATAAGATAAAATTAAGTAAAATTAGTTAAAAGAAACATTTTTAAAATAAATATAAGAATTTGTTGTCAAAAACTTTAAAAACAACACAGTATAAAATACATAAACAAAAACTCAAAATTAGTTTAAAAAAAGCTTTGTATTATAATAACTAAAATATTAGCTAAATAAAATAATCACACAAAAGTTTTTGGTACTTAAATAAAAAAAAATAGCAAAATCATGTTCATTAAAACTATTTAAATAAAAGCTTTGCTGATAAAATTTTCTTTAAATAAGCTTGAGCTAAAATCAAGGTTTTAAACATTTATCTTAATATAATCGTAAATGAAGAGGAAGGAATTAACGATTTTGAAGAATACTATTTGAAAAAGCTTTTTCAGAACAGGAGCTCTTATGTAGTTGGTTTGAAGTTTCTCTGTTTTTTAATAACAGCTTTCTAATAATTTTAAATACAACTTGTAAGAAAAAGCTTTTGTGGTTAGATTGTTCCATACATTTATAAAAGCTGTTTCGTTCGTTATTTAAAGTTCAGAAAAAATTAAGCTTTTAAGAACTTTCAACATTAATTTTTGTAATAGAAACTTAAATTATTTGCTTTTGTTGAAGTGAACGAAAGCTTTGTAATATAATATTTAATGCTTTTTTATCATTATCATAAGTATGTTTTAGTTTGAAATTAAGCTGTAATTTTTAATGAGCTTTTTATTACTTTTTAAAATGAATACCTACAAAAAGCTTTATAGAAGATCTTAATTTTTAATACGAACTATAAAAAGCTTTTTAAAACTTAAAAATTTGGAAAAAGAAAACTTTTGTATTAGAGACTTCTGTATAAATGTCTAAAAGCTTTTCCTTGGCCTTATAATCCTTTGTTTATACAAAGCTTTTTCTAAAAAGATCTTTTTAAAAAGCTTTCTTCAAATAATCTGTTTTCTAAAAAAGATTTTTTTAAGAAATAATTTTTTTCCAAAAAAGTTTTTTCTAATGAAGTACTTTTGAGACAATTTTTTCAACTCTTTTAAAAAAGCTTTCTCTGAAAAAAGTATTTTTGTCTAAAAAATCTTTCTATGAAAAAAGCTTTCTTTTTTTTCTAAAAAAAGCTTTCTCTGAAAAAAAGCTTATTTAAAAAGCTTTCTATGAAAAAAGCTTTCTATGAAAAAAGCTTTTTTAAAAAGCTTTCTATGAAAAAAGCTTTTTTAAAAAGCTTTCTCTGAAAATGTTTTTTTTTTCTAAAAAAGCTTTCTAAGAAAAGCATATTTAAAATTTTTATCATTCTTTTGAAATAATATTATTAATAAAAAATATCCTTTAAGCTTTTAAGTTAATAAGAGCTGTCGCTTTGAAGCTTATGAAAGCTTTATAAAAAAACTTTGGAAGTTTAATAAATAATAGAAATCTAAAACTTTCTCAAAGTCAAGAAGACATTTCGTGTGACTTTTGTATAAAAATATTTTAAAAGCTTTTATTTAACATAAATTTATTAAAAAAGGCTTTTGTATTAAAAACTCGGGAATATATTTAAAAAAGTTTTCTTATAAAATGAGAGTTTTTCTTAACTAAATGTTATATAGCGTTTATATGTATTTCTAAAAGCTTTTGCCAAAAAAAAGAATTATATTTTCAAAAAAGCTCTTGCATTAGATACTTTCTTTAGGCATTTCTAAAAGCTCTATGTGTTAAAGTGTTAAAATTCTATTTAAAAGTTTAACAAAAAATAGATTTCCCAAGCTTTCAGAAATCTCGGAATTTTGATAATATTTCTCAAAGCTTTCCTTTTAAAAACTATGTATTATTATATGCTGTCATAAAGTCTTGAGTAAAAAGCTTTAAATTTTAAACTTAAAAAACTTTCTTATTTAATCGGAAATTTTCTTAATTAAATGTAATATATAGAGTACATATTTCTAAAAGGTTTTTTAAAGCTTTTTTAGAAGAAGTAATTATATTTGCAAAAAAAGCTCTTGCATTTGGTTAATTCTAAAAGTTTTATAAAAAAGTTGGAATTCTATTTGAAAAGTTCAATAAAAAGCTAGACTACTATGAAGACTTCTCAAGCTACTTTTGCATACATTTCTAAGTCTTGAGTAAATAGCTTTTTGAATAATGAACATGTTTGCTAAATAAAGTTTAAAGAAATTTAAAGCTTTCAGAAAATAACTGAAGTTTTCATAAGAAATATATTACTAAAGAAACTTTTTAAACTTTTTATTTATGAAAAGCTTTTGTATTGAAGCCACGAATATACGTACCTAAAAGGTTAGTGCAAGCTTTTGTTATATATTGAAAGCTTTTGTTTTATATGTTTGTAAAAAAGCTCCTGTTCTTTTAGAAAATAAAGCAGACTTTTTATATATATGGAATATTTAGAAACTAAATAGAAAATTTTTAAAAGCTTTTTTAGTTATTGAAAGCTTTCGCTAAATAATAGTTATATATGAAAACCTTGAAATTTCTTTACATAATATCTGTCATCTGTAGCAAAAGCTTTAACAGTTTAGAGCTAAGTTGGGGGAAAAGAAAGTATTAAATATTTCCAAAAATAACAAAAAATAAAGTTTAGTTTTAGTTTTGAAAACAAAAATTTATTTATAAAAAAATGTAAAAAAACAACTTAAACAATAAAAATTAGTTTATGAAACAAATAGAATTATAATCTTAAGTAAAAAAATAAATATAATACAATTAAAAACTTAAAAAAATATATTAATTTTTTATTAGTCTTGTGTTATGTTTGTTTTTGTTTTGTTTAATATTTAATAATAATTTATTTAAATACATTTTGTAATTAGTTGAATTAAATCAATAATAATTATTTGTTTGTTTTTTTTTATACTGTTTAAATATATCATACAATTAATAATCATAAAACCCTAGTAAATAATCATTTGTTTTTTTTTAATAATTTTAATTTAATTTAATAATAATAATTATTTTTTCTTTTGTTTATTTATTTTTATAATAATATCAGTTGTTGTTGTTGTTTTTTTTTATACAAATACACACGGAAAAAGTTTATTTAACATATACATACATTTTGTTTTAAATTTAAGATTTTTTTAATTTTGTTTTGTTTCCAGGGAGAGGGGGGGGGGGGTATCAGTTAAAAACATAATTTAAGAAAATAATTTTAATTACTGGAGAGAAAAAAAAAAAAACATTAAATGATTCTTCTTTTTCTAGCAAAACTTTTCGTTTAAAATAGTTAAAGATTGTTAACAATTGTCTGGTTTTGTTTTTTGCATTAAATTTTCTCAAATTGAATTTATTGTTTTGTAAATATAATAATAATTAATAATAAATTTTAATTAATTAATAATCATAATATATTTATATAATAATTATAATAAATGTATATTAATAATATGTTTAATAGTTAATTTCTCTTCTGTTTTTGTTTCATTTTAATATTTATTATATATTTAAACTGTTACTTTTTACATACATACTCTTGTTTGTTGTTATTGTTGTTGCTGTTAAAAGTGTCTGTGTTTTGTTTTTTTTAGGAAATTTTGAAATGAAAAGCTGTTGTCTTGGTTTTGTTAAGCATATTACCTGATTTTGTTAGTTTAAACTATTTGTCGGCTGTTGCTGTTGTTGTAACTGCTTTCAAAGAGTATGTATACTTTTATTGCACAGGATCTTTGTAAGTTCCATTCCCATATCCCTTCTTATGTTTTGCTTTCTTTCAGTTTAGTTATACAGTTTCAATTTGTTTGTAATAGTTTTTTTTTGTCTTTAGTTTATTTATATTTAATGATTGGCGGAGGATAATTCATTTAATAACTGTGCTTTTGTTTTGTTAGGTTATTAGTTGAAGATTGTGTGTGTGTGTGTTGCTCTTAATAAACCTAGCGGCCTCGGGCCCATCGCAGTAACGCATCCGCCAGCACATCGAGATGGGCTTTCGTCTAAAAGTACAAATGAAAGAAGGAAGAATACAAATTAAATAAAAGCTAATAACAAATTCTATTATACTTCTAGTTCTGTTCTAGTTCTGTTCTAGTTCTGTTCTAGTTCTGTTCTGTTCTGTTCTGTTCGCTCTAGTTCTGTTCTAGTTCGTTCTGTTCTAGTTCTGTTCTAGTTCTGTTCTAGTTCTGTTCTAGTTCTGTTCTAGTTCTGTTCTAGTTCTGTTCTAGTTCTGTTCTAGTTCTGTTCTAGTTCTGTTCTAGTTCTGTTCTAGTTCTGTTCTAGTTCTGTTCTAGTTCTGTTCTAGTTCTGTTCTAGTTCTGTTCTAGTTCTGTTCTAGTTCTGTTCTAGTTCTGTTCTAGTTCTGTTCTAGTTCTGTTCTAGTTCTGTTCTAGTTCTGTTCTAGTTCTGTTCTAGTTCTGTTCTAGTTCTGTTCTAGTTCTGTTCTAGTTCTGTTCTAGTTCTGTTCTAGTTCTGTTCTAGTTTGTTCTAGTTTGTTCTAGTTCTGTTCTAGTTCTGTTCTAGTTCTGTTCTAGTTCTGTTCTAGTTCTGTTCTAGTTCTGTTCTAGTTCTTCTAGTTCTGTTCTAGTTTTGTTCTAGTTCTGTTCTAGTTCTGTTCTAGTTCTGTTCTAGTTCTGTTCTAGTTCTGTTCTAGTTCTGTTCTAGTTCTGTTCTAGTTCTGTTCTAGTTCTGTTCTAGTTCTTTTTAGTTCTGTTCTAGTTCTGTTCTAGTTCTGTTCTAGTTCTGTTCTAGTTCTGTTCTAGTTCTGTTCTATTTCTGTTCTAGTTCTGTTCTAGTTCTGTTCTAGTTCTGTTCTAGTTCTGTTCTAGTTCTAGTTCTGTTCTAGTTCTGTTCTAGTTCTGTTCTAGTTCTGTTCTAGTTCTGTTCTAGTTCTGTTCTAGTTCTGTTCTAGTTCTGTTCTAGTTCTGTTCTAGTTCTGTTCTAGTTCTGTTCTAGTTCTGTTCTAGTTCTGTTCTAGTTCTGTTCTAGTTCTGTTCTAGTTCTGTTCTTGTTCTGTTCTAGTTTTGTTCTAGTTCTGTTCTAGTTCTGTTCTCGTTCTGTTCTAGTTCTGTTCTAGTTCTGTTCTAGTTCTGTTCTAGTTCTGTTCTAGTTCTGTTCTGTTCTGTTCTAGTTCTGTTGTGCTAGTTCTGTGCTAGTTCTGTGCTAGTTCTGTTCTAGTTCTGTTCTAGTTCTGTTCTAGTTCTGTTCTAGATCTGTTCTAATTCTGTTCAAGTTCTGTTCTAGTTCTGTTCAAGTTCTGTTCAAGTTCTGTTCAAGTTCTGTTCAAGTTCTGTTCTAGTTCTGTTCTAGTTCTGTTCTAGTTTTATTCTAGTTCTGTTCTAGTTCTGTTCTAGTTCTGTTCTAGTTCTGTTCTAGTTCTGTTCTAGTTCTGTTCTAGTTCTGTTCTAGTTCTGTTCTAGTTCTGTTCTGTTCTAGTTCTGTTCTAGTTCTGTTCTAGTTCTGTTCTAGTTCTGTTCTAGTTCTGTTTTAGTTCTGTTCTAGTTCTGTTTCTAGTTCTGTTCTAGTTCTGTTCTAGTTCTGTTCTAGTTCTGTTTTAGTCTGTTCTAGTTCTGTTCTAGTTCTGTTCTAGTTCTGTTCTAGTTCTGTTCTAGTTCTGTTCTAGTTCTGTTCTAGTTCTGTTCTAGTTCTGTTCTAGTTCTGTTCTAGTTATGTTCTAGTTCTATTCTAGTTATGTTCTAGTTCTGTTCTAGTTCTGTTCTAGTTCTGTTCTAGTTCTGTTCTAGTTCTGTTCTAGTTCTGTTCTAGTTCTGTTCTAGTTCTGTTCTAGTTCTGTTCTAGTTCTGTTCTAGATCTGTTCTAGTTCTGTTCTAGTTCTGTTCTACTTCATTCCAGTTCAGTTTTTGTTCATATGTGTTTTCATTTAAAACGTTTAAAAATTCGTATGGTACGTATGATTAATATATGATCATTGTTTGATTAAATATTAAGCATACGCGCTTGATATATTTATTCAACATTACTTACCGTTTTGTAGAACATACACGATCTTCTATCCTCATCCTCACCCTCGGGACAATCAAGGAAACCATCACACAGTACATGATCGTCTATGCAACGATATCGACCTTGCAAATCCGGTGTCGGACATGCAAAACGCTCCATGCCATCCATAGCGGTGGGGCATTCTAAAAATAAAGATAAAATGAACATAATAAAATATTAATGAAAACGTATATGTGCTTAGCAAGAGAGAATAAAGACAATATAATTCAATTTATAAAATACTTTTAGAAAAATATAATCTACTGTAAAGTGGTTCATAACATTAAAGACAACACATTTTTCAATGAAAGCCGGAGAAAAATTTTAAAATTGTTATAAACGTACATATATTATAATTTAATACACTACTTGTTTACATATGACGACGAGTAAGTAGAATTTACCATTCATATGTTGTCATTGTACTTTTGACGTCAGTCAGTCATTAAATTTGATTTGATTTTATGTCATTGTTAAAAAATAATATAATACTCATTGCTATTGCGATGTGCAAAAATATATACGAGCGTATATTCCCATACAAAAAGGAATGTTTTATTATGGCACGAGTTTACCCAAATTGATTGTCCTTTCGTAACAACGTTGTTATTTTTTAAATAATTGCTGGAAATCCTTTAATGATGGCAAAATGAAAATATACGAATTACGCTTTTGTATAAAAAGTTTAAGCGAGGTTATTATTAAGCTTTTAAGAGAGAAGGTTTTTGGCACGTTTAAAGTTGGAATTAAAGAGAAGATGTTTATGTGAACATTTGGCTTTTACCACCAAATAGTTCAGACAAATGGCCTTGAAAAGGTCTGTCTTTATATTGATAGAATTTACTAACAATTAAAATTATATGCCAATAAATGCTCTACCCTTGCTTACCACCAACAATTTGTTTCATGCCAGTAATCATATTAATAAATACTATTAAACCTTTACACCAGCACTGGTCATTGACAATTAAAACTCTATTAAAATGGTATCAACAGCCACAGACAAATCAACTTAATCAAAAAACCGGCAATGACGTTGGTATTATACAAAATATTCAACCTTAAACTGACGTAAATAATATTAAAATTTGATGATAAGTGTATGCATGTTGAACAAATTACAATAAAAAAACAACAAATACTCATGGCAACGAAAAAAAAAAAATCTGAAAAAAATAATAATTAAACTTAATTAACATGGGAGTTTTTGTAAATATATTTCTACTTAGTTGCTTTGATTTTGTATAATTATTAACATATTTTATAGTTCAAACAAAATCATTTAATAATTGTAGCTATTTCTGTTGTTAAGCTTTATATTATTTTGTACGTTGTCCTGACAATTAGTCATACGAAAAAAAGTACTTACAGCTAAATGTAGTAATTAAACTTAATGTCATAATGTTTGCAGATGGCGTAGAAATTTTTATTTATATTTAACGCTCTCAGTTAATTAAATTTGTCAAGTATTTCTAGGTATTATTTATTTAAAATAAGACAAACATATTTTGTTTTAAAAATACTTGTTTGTATGAGAGTTGGAGAGACAAAGTGATTACGAAGTTTTAATTGAAAAACTTTAATTACTTTTGTTTTAGAAGAAGAAAGATGGATTTTATTTTTGTTTAAAAACAAGTATTATAAAAATCAAAGAAAAGAAATTTGTATTACAAATAAATTATTAAGAGTTATTCTTAAATATTAGCTAGACATATGTAATCATAAAGTTCAGGACCGTATACTTAATATTTAATTCAAAAATAATTTAATTAATCATACGCACCATATGGTGTACTATAGCCTTTGTTAATAAGGGAACTGGAATGTTCTAGTTCTGTTCTAGTTCTGTTCTAGTTCTGTTCTAGTTCTGTTCTAGTATTGTTCTAGTTCAGTTCTAGTTCAGTTCTAGTTCAGCTCTAGTTCAATTCTAGTTCAGTTCTAGTTTCAGTTCTAGTTCAGTTCTAGTTCAGTTCTAGTTCAGTTCTAGTTCAGTTCTAGTTCAGTTCTAGTTCAGTTCTAGTTCAGTTCTAGATCAGTTCTAGTTCAGTTCTAGTTCAGTTCTAGTTCAGTTCTAGTTCAGTTCTAGTTCAGTTCTAGTTCAGTTCTAGTTCAGTTCTAGTTCAGTTCTAGTTCAGTTCTAGTTCAGTTCTAGTTCAGTTCTAGTTCAGTTCTAGTTCAGTTCTAGTTCAGTTCTAGTTCAGTTCTAGTTCAGTTCTAGTTCAGTTCTAGTTCAGTTCTAGTTCAGTTCTAGTTCAGTTCTAGTTCAGTTCTAGTTCAGTTCTAGTTCAGTTCTAGTTCAGTTCTAGTTCAGTTCTAGTTCAGTTCTAGTTCAGTTCTAGTTTTAGTTCAGTTCTAGTTTTAGTTCAGTTCTAGTTCAGTTCTAGTTCAGTTCTAGTTCAGTTCTAGTTCAGTTCTAGTTCAGTTCTAGTTCAGTTCTAGTTCAGTTCTAGTTCAGTTCTAGTTCAGTTCTAGTTCAGTTCTAGTTCAGTTCTAGTTCAGTTCTAGTTCAGTTCTAGTTTCAGTTCTAGTTCAGTTCTAGTTCAGTTCTAGTTCAGTTCTAGTTCAGTTCTAGTTCAGTTCTAGTTCAGTTCTAGTTCAGTTCAGTTCTAGTTCAGTTCTAGTTCAGTTCTAGTTCAGTTCTAGTTCAGTTCTAGTTCAGTTTCTAGTTCAGTTCTAGTTCATTTCTAGTTCAGTTCTAGTTCAGTTCTAGTTCAGTTTCTAGTTCAGTTCTAGTTCAGTTCTAGTTCAGTTTCTAGTTCAGTTCTAGTTCAGTTCTAGTTCAGTTCTAGTTCAGTTCTAGTTCAGTTCTAGTTCAGTTCTAGTTCAGTTCTAGTTCAGTTCTAGTTCAGTTCTAGTTCTTCTAGTTCAGTTCTAGTTCAGTTCTAGTTCGTTCTAGTTCAGTTCTAGTTCAGTTCTAGTTCAGTTCTAGTTCAGTTCTAGTTCAGTTCTAGTTCAGTTCTAGTTCAGTTCAGTTCAGTTTCTAGTTCAGTTCTAGTTCAGTTCCTAGTTCAGTTCTAGTTCAGTTCTAGTTCAGTTCTAGTTCAGTTCTAGTTCATTCTAGTTCAGTTCTAGTTCAGTTCTAGTTCAGTTCTAGTTCAGTTCTAGTTCAGTTCTAGTTCAGTTCTAGTTCAGTTCTAGTTCAGTTCTAGTTCAGTTCTAGTTCAGTTCTAGTTCAGTTCTAGTTCAGTTCTAGTTCAGTTCTAGTTCAGTTCTAGTTCAGTTCTAGTTCAGTTTAGTTCAGTTCTAGTTCAGTTCTAGTTCAGTTCTAGTTCAGTTCTAGTTCAGTTCTAGTTCAGTTCTAGTTCAGTTCTAGTTCAGTTCTAGTTCAGTTCTAGTTCAGTTCTAGTTCAGTTCTAGTTCAGTTCTAGTTCAGTTCTAGTTCAGTTCTAGTTCAGTTCTAGTTCAGTTCTAGTTCAGTTCTAGTTCAGTTCTAGTTCAGTTCTAGTTCAGTTCGTTCAGTTCTAGTTCAGTTCTAGTTCAGTTCTAGTTCAGTTCTAGTTCAGTTCTAGTTCAGTTCTAGTTCAGTTCTAGTTCAGTTCTAGTTCAGTTCTAGTTCAGTTCTAGTTCAGTTCTAGTTCAGTTCTAGTTCAGTTCTAGTTCAGTTCTAGTTCAGTTCTAGTTCAGTTCTAGTTCAGTTCTAGTTCAGTTCTAGTTTAGTTCTAGTTTAGTTCTAGTTCAGTTCTAGTTCAGTTTCTAGTTCGTTTCTAGTTCCCGTTCTAGTTCATTCTAGTTCAGTTCTATTTCAGTTCTAGTTCAGTCTTAGTTCAGTTTCGAGTTCATTCTATTTCAGTTTCTAGTTCAGTTCTATTTCAGGTTCTAGTTCAGTTCTAGTTCTGTTCTAGTCAGTTCTGGTTCAGTGGCTAGTTCTAGTTCAGTTCTAGTTAAGTTCTAGATCAGTTATTCTAGTTCAGTTCTCAGGTAGCGTATACTTATATGTTAATTAAAAATAAATTAGTTAGAATCATACGCATCATATGGTGTAATTATGGGGAACTGAAAAGGTAAATGGAACACGATGTAAACAGAAACGCGCTAGCTCAGTTCTCGTTTTGTTCTAGTTCAGTTCTGATTATGTTCTTTTCTCTTCTTGTATTCCGGCTTCAAAATGATACCCTCAATTATAAAAAATTTTAAAATTTTATTTAAATAATTGTTGTCCAACAGTCGTGTAAATATCTTTAAAAGCGAACCAACGAATAAGCGCATATGTGTTGTAGAGTAAGTGCCATTAAAAATTCATTCACACATTTTAAATGCTGTTCAGTTTAAATGTATTTGTATGTAAACCCACACACTCTGAACAAAAAAATAACAAACAAAAAGAGCCATTATCAAATGGACAACCATAAAATGTAACATGCAATAATAATACATGAAATGCATGCATATGCATGCCTGAAAATGCCATATAGATGTCATTTGGAAAACAAACAAAAAATAAAATATGTTTGTATGTATGTACATTTGTATGTGCTAATGTCTGTGTATTTGTGGTAGGGAATATTGTGTGTGTGATGGTGCATGAGAATTTTGGAAAACTAAGTGGGTGTGTGAGAGATAAAAACTAAAAATGAACTACAAATTGTACAAAATAGGATAGAGAAAAAAACTTTGCACCGAAAGCCAATGAACTTTAAAAGTTTTATTTTCGGAAATAATTTAAAAAACAGTTAAATTTACGTACAAACAACTAGGTTGGGAATTTTGTTAGAATAATTAAATTTTATTAAAAGGTGGGAGTGAATAAAAAAGCAACTGATGGGCAAAGTAATTATATTTAATTGGTAAAATATGGTTTGTCTTTTTATAAAAGAAAAACCTACTTGACGTATGACGGATTATGTCTGGTAGTCAAACGAACCAGAGGGCGTATGATTGATTTTTATTTAAACATTTTATGGAAATTATTTTAAAGTTACACCTTTTTTTGCCTTTCAAACTACTCTTCCTTAAATTAAAAAAAAATCATCTAAAAATAAACCAACAAAAGAAATATTTATTTACTATAAATACTATCAAAAACCAAAGGCGCCTTAATGTCCTTTAAATGTGATTTATTTTTATGTACATTCTATTTCAAAAACATACACAAAATTTATTTATACTCGTATTTATATATAGCGAAAAAAAGAGCAGAA